TGCACGCAAATGGGATTTGGGGATATGCAGGCGGACTCGGGGGGACTCGTAGATTCGAGCGGCGCTCCTTTCTCCATGAGGATTTGCTTTCTATTGTTTTCTCTGGAATCCACACGCTCCTTTTTGTCACAAGGATTCCTTCTCAAATTCTATACGCAACAATGGTGCTGTGTTGCACACGGCTGATGTGGTGCACACAGGCGCCGTGGCGTACACAGGCACTGCAATGCACGCAAGCATTGTGATGTGCACTGGTGCTGTGTTGCGCACGGCTCATGTGGTGTACGGAGGCGCTGTGGTGTACACAGGAGCTGCTGTGCCCGCAGGCACGGTGGCACAAACTGACGCTGTGTTGCACGCGGCTGCTGTGGTGTACATCGGCGGTGTGGTGTACACAGGCGCTGTGGTGCACGCGGGCACTGTGATGTACACAGGCGTTGTGGTGCATAATTATCGCCACCTACATGTTCGTGCGACCCGTCCTCCGTCATTCCTAACCATTCCCAAACGCCGGCGGCGCGAAACGCGACGTCATCGGCCCCCTCCCCCCCCAGATGATTGCCGTCATCGGTCCGGACTTAAAAACAGGCTCCAGCCGCGTCCGCGCGCACGACGACGATGAGCGACGAGCGACGAACCACGAGCGACGACGACGAACGACGACGACGACGACGACGACGACGACGACGCCTGCGGACCAGACACCTATGCGGATTCCTACGCGGACACCTACGCGGATCCCAATGCGCACGGCGGCAGTGCCCAGAGCGCACTGGGGGGGGGGAGCGTTACGTCATAGCGAGGGGGGGGGTGAGCGGGGGCCATGACGCCCGTCATGCCCCAAGCAATAAAGAAATGGCCTCCAACAGCGGCCGCTGTTGGGCAGGCGGCCTTCTGTCTCGAATGGACACAGGCCGCGGCGGCGTGGACAGCGAGTCCTGTTCAAAATGAACAAGATCCGCTGTTGGGCATTGTGCCCATTCTTTCCGTGCCCATTTCGTTCGTGCAGAGAGTTGCGACCCGGCGAGGGTAAAAGGCTCGGACCCCGCCGCCAAGGAGGGCCGCCCGGCACCGAGCCAGTCGGGCCTCGATCTCCACACCCCGCGCCTTCGTTCGACGAGCTCCGCTCCCCACCGGCGCCGCCCGTCGAGTTGCCCGAATTGCGACTCGGCGAGCGGAGGGTTCGGACTCAGCGCCCCATTCGTCATCTCCTCCCCCCCGGCGCCCTCTTCGGCCTCTCCGGTCTCCTTCCCGCTCTCCTGCCCCCGGAACGCCCCCACCGTGCAGCTGGGCCGCCGAAGGAAGGAACGCCAAAGAAGGCACGAAGCCCCTCCTTCGACCCCAAGCCCGCCTGCGTGGACGAGGAGCGCCGGAGAAACAGCCATGGACGGACCTACTCAGTGTGAGGAACGTCGAGCCCCTTTCCAACCCGAACGGCTCCTTACTTCGGCGACTTGGCTGCATGTCAGGGGCCGCTCCTCGCCCCGAGCGCAGACTCTGGCGTGCCGTGGGGGTCGTGGTCCCTGGCCTGTGGAGCGCTGCGTACCGCACCACCCGGCGCACACGCTTCCAGCTCTGGGGTGCGACGTTGGCGTGAGCTCTGTGGATGCCACGACCACGGGCACTCCAACAGTCCAGTCCTACCACTGAACTAAAATAGGGTTTTGAATGTGCAATGCCCGTTCTGAAAATGTTTCAGACCTGTGCTTAATATATTTTAAAACATGTTTGAAGCATGCCTTAGACATCTGGAAATTATTTGGCAGCATGCTTCCTCTCCATTATCGGGCGTTGGCAGAACTGGGTTTAGTGGAACCTGGTTCAGTGATGTGGACTGGGGGACGCCCCCCGCCCCGTTCCACGAACTGGAACTGCCGCCACCCGAAAAAACGCCAGCTGCGGCAGACCTGGTTTAGTGCTTCTGGCCAATCCAAGGGCTCCGGGGCCCTACCACTCACCGGGTCCCCTTACGGCAGGTTCGTGTCGTGCCGACCCCAGCGTTGGTTTTTGACACCGCAGGGATCGTTCAACCTTGAACGATCGGCCGCTGCCGCAACGTCCGATCGTTCAACATCGATCGATTCTGGGTCGCCGGCGGCGTTCAACCTTGAACGCCCGCGCTGGGGTCGCCGCTGATCGACCGCTGGTCGCCCGACGTCATGAATTTTTCATGACGTCGACCCCCAGCGGTCTGGACCCATCCCCCGGGACCGGGTTTTCGTCCTGAGTCGTTTTTTGACGGTCCCGAGGGCCGGTAAGGCCCCCCAGAGGCCGAAAATGGCGAAAAACCTCCCGTCGTGATTGTTTCATAACTCGAGGGGGTCTGGGGTCCTGGCGATACCCGACAGTCATCGACCTCCACAAAGTGTCAGCTCTCCGGCGCGGCGCGGACCTCGCGAAGCCCCCCAGCGTGAGAGCGCCCGACGCCCGAGGCGGCGGCGGCGGCCGCCTCGAGCGGCTGCAGGAGCGCAGGGCACCGGCGCCGCCCAGGGCTGCAAAGCAGCTGCGCCGCCGAGCGAGACGAGTAGGGAGCCCACAAAGGACGTACGCGCCCAGCTATGTACATGAACACGGCCCCTCGATCCGCGAGACCGGCCGCGTTATGCGAACGTTTGTGCCGTGCGTGCTCTCGAAGCCAGCGTGGATTCATGTACATGTGCGTCCTTCTTTCGCTCCTGAACGAGGCGCTGCGCCCCCACATTCGGCTGCGGACGAACCTCCCTTTTAGCAAACCTCCCCTCAGTGGAAAACGGCCTGGGACCGAAACCGACGGGCCTGGACCCGCAAAAGTGACGGCCGCGGCGCCCCCTCGCGAAGCGAACACGGCCAAGTCCTCAATCGACGTGTCAGGGTAGGAGGTCTATCCACCCTCGAACATGGGCCCGCAGAGCACGCGCGCGAGCCTGCCGTACGGGCGCGCCCATTG